TAAAATGGGTAAAGAAAGACTTCAGTGGAAAGAAAAGATCTAACACTAAACCCTCTATAAAGTTAATAAAACTTCTATACTGTTCAATATGCAGAATGTAAGGCAAAAGGAAGAATAAATCAGTGAAGAAACAGGACTGTGCAGTAGGCAAAACAAAAACAGAGAAGTGGATTACAACAAATCTAAGGAATAAGGAGGTCAATTGTGTCAAAAGTTGCTAGGAAACAAAAATGGCTACTGTATTTGGTATAACTAATAATTCACTTTGATAAAAGTATTACTAGCATAATAGAAATGAAAGCCTTATGCAGAAGGCAGAAGAAATAAAAGGGGCTACAAAGGAGGTTAGTGGAGAAAGAACGCAGGTTTGCTAGGAAGGAGCATGAAGAAAGACAGCAAAGTCATGTTCAGCAATAATCCTGGCCTCTCCCACTCAATGCCAGTGGCACTAATCCAGCTGTGACTACTAAAAATGTCTCCAGACATTATCAAAATGTGCCCTCCAGGGTAAAGGGAGTTCAAAATAGCCCCAAATTGACACCAGCGATTTAAAACCCAGTAGTGAAAACATGATTATTGTTGGGATTTTCTTCAGTGGCATAGAATTGTCCCTCTGGACACATGACCAGAGCTGGGATTTTGGCAGATGAAGAAACAGCACTAGATAAAATTGCCAGATGGGATTTAGAGGGAAGGACAGTAAGAGTGACTGTATTCTTAGGCAATAAAATTTAGGGGGAAAGGGAAACAAAAAGACAACATGAGGTAGATTATACAGTGGTGGTAGACTAATGAGACAACATTATCAGTGAAGTAGAAGAATTACAGAAAGCAAGGCTCATCTAAAAATATGCTAAGAAATAGGGAACAATGGCACGTGTCTGTAGTCCAAGCTATTCAAGTGGCTAAGGGGGAGAGAATGGCTTGAGCAGAAGAGTTTAATGCCAGTCTGGGCAACATAGTGACACACTGTCTTAGAAAAAGAATAAAAAGGATTTAAAAAAAAAAAAAGAAAGAAAGTTTTGCTTAGAGTATGAAATTAGGGATTAAGATTTTAGAGAGAAAAATTTTCTAATATTGATTAAAGAGAGTGGCCAAGGCAGACTCTATAAATGAGAAAGACAAGTCCCAAAAGACTAGCCCTATGTGGATGCTGAAGCCACAGCAGGAATCATGAAGATGACAATGAAAGTTTTCACACAATGACAGTGCTGCAGGTGGGCAGATGGACACAGTATCTGACAGTGTCATCTTTAATAAAAGGTTCTGTCAATGCTTTCCAAATGAAGAAACAGGTTGAAAACATTAACAGGGAACAAAAGGGGCACCAAACCCTTCTCTTAAGAAAATAAAGATCCATTTGAGAGGGCCACAATGGAGGTGGTAGTAGAGTACAGCTAGCCATTTCATACTATGCTATTTAAAAAAAAGAAAAAAAAGAAGAAGATGCTCTCTCAACTAACCCTTGATTATTCATGCTCTGCTTTATTACTTTATAGTTTCTTCCCATCTTTTTATGGGGAAATCCTTAGGAATCTACCATACACAGGAAGGAAATATAAGAATCAATTTTTAAAGTGATATATCAGAAGTTCTCAAACCTGGCTGCCCAGTAGATTCACCTTAGGGTTTTTTAAACATATTAAGGCCTGATCCTCATCCCGGGTCAATTAATTCTGAGAAGGACCTGAACTGTTCTCTCCTCAATACCCCAGAACCACAAGTAATTTAATGAACAGTGAATACCTATGTTAAAACATGTGACTTTAGCATAATGTGTGTTTCTTTTATGGCTGTTGTCATTACTTGCATTTTCTACTTAAGAAAGAATATCTAAAATAAAAAGTATGGGGGCTGGGGCTGGGGCAGTGGTAGGGGGCTTGCCTAGCTTATGCGAGCGCTGGGTTCGATCCTCAACACCACATAAAAAAATAAATAAATAAAGGTATCATGTCCAACTAAAAAAATATTTAAAAAAAATAAAATTAAAAGTATGTATTTAAGTAGGACAGTCATTTAATCTTCTACTCAGCAAAATATGACTAAGGAATACAAGAAATCATTAAAATCAGTATTCAA